CGATCATAACTACAAGGTCAAGATGAAGATGCTTTTCATTGTCAATTTTAAAATGTTAATGCTTTAGCCAAGTTGCTTCTAACATGAATATGCTGCTAATGTGTCTAATACTTATGTTTCTACAAACTCTAAGGATTCTTGTAAGTTCCAGGGAGCTGAATTGGATCCAAACAAACAGGTCAGATTCACTCCAAATAAATATTATTCAATCTTTCCCTGGTCCCAGGACTCCCTTCCCTCATGTTGGGACACCTCGGGAACCCCTCCCTCATCTTACAATCCTCCCCTCAAGTACCAGGACCTAAGAAAAGATTTTTTTTTCCTAAACTTAGCCTTGTCCTCTGCTCTGCCAACATCTTTCCAGGTCAAAGAGGTGCCAGAGTTCCATACAGACTGGACTTCAATGGAGCAACCAGATACCCCAGGACATGACAGCATCCCAGCCTTCTCAGGTCCCCCAAAGATGATCAATGCCCCCCACATCAGCAGGAAGCAGTCTTGAGAGTATTTGGCACCCTTATTCCTTAATCTGCCATGCCTAACACCCAACATTTTTAATAATAAGTACAGGTGGGATTGAAAGGTTCAGGCATTATGCTGGCCTGCCCCTGTTACCTGGCAGAATCCACTCAGGCAGTACCCTGGTCAGCCCAGGGTTCCATGGGAACTATGTCTGTATGCAGGTGTAGAGGACCCCTTTAAAAGACAGATCCCTGCCCACTTATGGTCTCTTCTCTCTCTTCTCTTCACTTCTCTCTCTGCCTCTTTTCCTCCTCTCTTCTATTTCTCTCTCACTAGCTCTCCATGATATAATAAACTGGTTAAGAGTCTCATGTCTCATCTTGTGCCCATTCTTTCTTTCTAATTTAAGCAAAAACCTAACATGAAGTAGCAACGAAAATAATTTTATAATTGGGGGTCACCACAACATGAGGAACTGTATTAAAGGGTCGTAGTGTTAGGAAGGTTGAGATCCATTACTCTAGAGAACCCTGGCTAATAGAGAGATGGACGTAACTACTTATAAAGGAGGCTGGAGGCAAGAGGTCCCTTAACTCCAGAAATCCCAGAACAGTGTGGAACTGGGACTGGTGGCATAAGCTAGCTACTCAGGAAGCCGAGGCAGGAGGATCACAGCCTTAAGTAAGCTCAAGCCTGGCCTGGGTACTTAGTAAGACTCTATCTCAACATAAAAGCCCAAAGACCAGGCATATAGCTAGGTGGAAGCATACTTTCCTAGTAAGTACAAGACTCTAGGTTCAACCCCCAGCACAAACAACAACAATAATGACACCCCCCCCCAAAAAAAACCCACCCTGACCCATCTGGTTAAATTCTAATTTAAAATGTACAGTTCTGGCTACTGTGTAACTCATGTGAGAGAATCTATGTTTGGTGCATAGATATATGCATGGGTGCAATTCCCAACACAAAACTGCAACTCAACAGTTATAATAGTGTAATTGTCACAATATTTTAGAGTCCTGGACTGGTTAGCAGTTTTCCTCATTCCCTCCAACTTCCTATTCTGGACAGTTCTCATAAATGGAGCTATACAATATCTGGTCTCTTATGATTGGTTTCTCAGCAATATCCTTTCAGGTTCACCCAGGAACTGAAACTTCATTCTATTGTATTCTACATGACACTCTGTTACTATCAGTGGTTGAGGGCCCTTGGGGATTCTATTGTGGGTCTGATAGGAATAATGCTGCAATGATCATTTATGTCTACAGTTATGTGTGGACAGGTGTTCTCGTTTCTCTAGGTACATTCCTGGGACTGGAATTGTGGTCATAAAGCAAATCTATGTTTAACCTTTGAAGAATGGCCAGATTGTTCTGCAAAATGGATACACCAGCAGTGTGAGAGGGTTGCAGTTTCTTCCTGTCCTCAAGGACACTCACTGATTACAGGCATCCTCGTGGATGAAGCAGTGTTTCACTGTTTCTTATTTCCATATCTTTGGCTAAGCTGTTGGCATGTGTTTATTGACCATTTGTATAGCTTCTTTGGGGAGATGTTTATTCAGATCCTTTACACATTTTAAAAAATTAGTTGTCTCTTTATCTTTGAGCTATCTTTCATCTCTCTCTCTCTCTCTCTCCCTCCCTCCTTCCCTCCATCCCTCCCTCCTTCGGGTTTCACTATGTAGTCCTGCCTGCCAGGACTACCATGTCCCAGTCACAGACCCTCCTATATGTTACCCAAGCAATCTGCTGTAACCCTAGACCTTCACTCTTTTAATACATAAGAGTTTGATGCTGTGAGGGTTTTTGTTTTTTGTTTTTCTTTCTTGTTTTCTGTGGTTCTGGGCTTGAAACCCAGAGCCTTGTCCATGCTAGGCTCTACCACACTTTGAGAAACATTACAAAAATTCAACTCTGAAGGCACTGCAATAATGTAATAGCGTCTCTTTCAAGAGGGATTTCTTCCATGTTTGGGGATGAATTCTCTGTCAGCAGCAGCAAGCCAAGGCTCTTCCTCAAAGCCAGGGAACATAGCCCCTGGGGACCTATCTCCTGTGTTTACACCCCTCCCTTTCCTGAGGTCCACAATAGAGCAGCTGAAATGACAGTTTGGAAATGTCCTTTATTGTGAAAACTCAATAGCCTTTGTCTCTGGGATTTGAAATTTTCATTCAGAAGGAGGTGAAGGGACGAGAAACCCTGCACTGGATCCTCGTGAGTCATCTTCACTCTAGGTTGTTTGGTTTTCTCACCCATAAACTAGGGAGAGCAACTCCATTCTCCCATCCTAGTGGGGGGGAGTGTGAAGATGAATTAATTTGTATTTGTTAGATACTTTGAGACCTTAGATTAAAAGCATTACTGAGACTCAAGGTGTTATTATAATAATAAATGATTTAATAGCAGGGTGAGGTGGCTGAATGGGTGGAAAGGCAGGCTCAGAGCTGCAAGGGGGCTGCTGTAGAGAGATCCTGGGCCAGACATGAACTCTTGGGTTCCGAGGCAGGAAACTCTGGTTTCTCATAAACCCTGGGTTGTTTCATCTGGCTTCACCGTAGCCTTATTGAATGCTTCCTACATAAGTGAGATTACAATCTTTTCAGGAAACAGGCATATAAATTAGAAACCACGTGGGGCGTTAGAATCAAGTGCTCGATAGAACAAGTGTCTAGAAGTAAGGGGAGAAGGAGCTGGTGAAATGCAGTTTTCCCTGCTAATGACCTCAGGTCTACCACCCACCAGCTGCATGGCCAAGCCTCAGTTTCTCCTTCTCAACCGCAATTGTTCTTGTAAAATTCTCAAAGTAAGGCTAACACAACAAACACTCCAGTGTCCACCCATCAGGCTCTTGTCAGACTACTCTTTAGCTGACAACGCGATCTTGGCCAGACTGCACCATCCTCAGAGCCTCAGTATTCTTCATGCAAAATGGGAGTAATGTGTATTCCTACCCTAGCACCTATAACGTACAGTACATTTGATAGACATTTTTCCTGGCTGAGGAGTGAGGTGTGCGTTCTAAAGTCGCGGGGTGGGGGTGGGGAGACGTCTTTGGAAGTTGGAGTTTAACATAGGTGCCAGGAGGGAAGGAGTAAGACATCTCACTTTTCCATCCCACCCTGTAGTTTTATCTCTACCGTCCCTTTCTGGCAATGTTGGCTCTCACCAGTGCTGCCTTCTAGTCTGCCGTTCCTCAGGCCTAACCTGCTGACTAAGTAATGTGGGCCTAATTTTCTGGGCCTGTCAGGAGGAGCGCCTCCCTCAGTCAGTAGCAAGGATACCTTACTCTCAGCAGGAATCTCGTTTCAAAGTCACCTAAAAGCCATTTCCTCTCGCTCTGCCCCGCCCCGCCTCTCCCCTCCCGTCCCGTAAATCACTAGGTGTTTGCTTTTCCCTGGAGCAGCATTTTTTTTTTTTTTTTTAAGGGTAGTTAGTGAAAGGTTCAGGCATTATGCTGTGGTGGAGGGGATTCTATAAGCCATTTAAGATTCTCACTTGTCTACACCTGGCCTTCTAAATGCTGGTGTAAAACGGTCAATTCCTGTTCCAAGGAGCTGGTGCTAACGTCTAACCCGGGAGTCCTACTTCTCCTGTGGTCTTACCCTGAGTTCCCATCTCCCACCCCTCCTCCTGGTGGGTGTGTTGGGACAGTCTCTAACCTCCCCTCCCCTAAGATCTTTACCGCTTAAAGATTTATGCTTAGTGAGACGTAGTAGCGCACACCTATAATTGCAGCACTTTGAAGGAGCGCCTACAGTTCGGAGCTAGCCTGGGCTACAAAGTGTGGCGCTGTCTCAAATCAAAAAGTAAAAACAATAATTAGGGCGTGGTAGTGCGCACCAGTTATCCTAGACCTCGGCAGGTAGAGGCAGGAGAACCATTACGTTCAAGATCACCCTCGGCCAGTCTCTGCTAATTGAGAACCTGCTTCAAATCAAACCAGTAAACATACGTGTTTCTTGCTCAAAACCTTACTCGTCCGTTTTCTAAGTCCTTGTGCTGCCTTAACCTCCCATCCTCTACTTTCCCAGGGCAGTAGCCGGAGCACATTCCAAACGGGGTCCTCTGTCACTCAGGTTCCTCAATCTGCTTTTCTCACTAACAGCCCCACCTGGGCGCCCCACCAAGCCCCAAGCTATGGGCTTCTTATCTCTTTCTCGTCAGAAGGCAAGATTTTTACAACTGTAAAGGTGCCACCGAGATCTAGTTTCGGTGAGGAATTCGAGACGTGCCTTTCTGACTCAGCGGCCGAGGTGACCTGCTCCAGTAGGACCAGGACGTCCTTTTTCTATCTAACCAGTTGCTTCACCTGGGAAAGCCCAGGGGGCTGAGCCCGGTGTCTTTCCCAGTCTGGAGGTTTGGGCGCCCTTTCGGCGTGAGATCAGGCTGGCGACACTAGGATAACCAACGCCACCACGTGCCTGTGTCTTGGGATCCTAGAGCTCCAGGTGGCGGGGATGGGGGGGTGGCCAGCGGGGCCCACACGGCCGGCCGCGCGCGTTAATCATTAGCCACTTTCCCTCCCTCAATCCCTCCCTCCCTCCCGCTGCAGCCTAGGCCAGGTTCTGCGGCCACTTCCTGCGGAGTGCTGGGGAGCCGTGCGCGTTTTGGGGACCCCCGAAGTCCGGTGCTCGCAGCGGGACGAGTCTGGGACCGCAGAGCGGCCAGTCGTGGGCGGGAGTGGCCGGCGGCTCCAGCCGCTTCCGAGAGCGACTTTCAAACTCGCGCCCGCTTCGCGGCGCCACCTGGGCAGCCCCGCGCGCTCTGTGTGTCGCGAGCCGGCGGGGCGGCCACCGCTCGGTGAGTGTCCCCGGGTTTGCCCCTCTCCCTTTGCCCATGCGTGATTGGCAGCACTCTTCGGGGACCCCAGGCTAGCCTTCTGTGGGATGAGGACCTGGTCCAGGGTTTCCTCGGACACACTCTGAGTAGGTTGGAGCGCGGGAAGGTCGTAAGGGGAGTCACTTTTTGTCCCCACCCCGGAAACCAGAGCAGCATAGGTGGCTTCCCAGAGTTTGAAATCCGGGCAGCCCTCGACGTTCTCGCCACCTCATTCTCCTTGTGTGCACTGGCGCCAGTGGATTAGTGCTTGCTCGGGACTGTGGGCCCTTCTAGAAGGGTACAGACTTAGGTACTCAGCCTGTTCCGGGTTGGTGCCACACCGTGCTTGCTCCTGGGAATCCAGCTGCCTATTTAGGCGGATTAGAGTGGTGCCAGAAACAGAGTGTCCAGGACCTGCAAGCCTAGAGCCCCTCGTTGGTTGTCCCTAACAGTCTAGCCCTCCGCCTCCTTCAACTGGTTTGGTTGTTTGCACCCTTCACTCAGACCTTCAGTTTGGGAATCTCTGACAAGGCTTGCAAGCTTCAGTTGTTCAAGATGCTGCTTCAGTGGCAACATTTATTCTGGAGCTACTTTTGAAAACAAAGGAAAAAAACCACGGAACGAGCAATGTAATGATTGTAGGGTGGAGAAAAGTGGCTTTATGGGGTGGTGTTAAAGACTGGGTAAGAGTATCCATTTCAGAGTCAATCATCAAACTCTTGGTAGATGTGTGTGGGGGTATTAGACTTTTCTGCAGATCCCCCAGAACCTACCGGCACCGTAGCACCTTACAGAGTCTTGGGGTTCCCAGTCTTCCAAGCTGTGCCTCTTCACGCATTCCAGTCACATGGCCCTTGCTCAAGAAATAATTAGCGTGGAGTATAATGACAGCCTTGAGAGGGAGAAGAAGATGCTTCCTGCTGTGTCTGGCCTTCCGGAAGAGTTCCTTTCCAGTCCTTCCTTTGCTAGACTGGAATCTTGTGTCATGAAAGCTCAGCATAAAAACCTAGGGACTAAACACCAGGAAGTCTACTATTCTGTTATTATTATTCCTGTATGGTATTGGGCTCACTGGATGGCTCACAGACCCCCATCTCCCGTTTGTACACAAACTTTTCACAAGCCTGCTGCCTCTACTGGTCCTCCCTTTCCAGACTTAACCCACATGGTGCTGGGAATTGGGAATGAAGTGGGGATATTCTCACCCCTCCACTTAGTCTGGTCTGTCTGTTTTAGGTGGCACAGCCATGAGGGTGGGAGGGCCACTGACTGAGAGTCCAGTGGGTTTTTGCTGGAGGTTTAATGCTGGCCCTGTTGGCTTACATCAAGGCTTTCTGAATACATGACTGGCCTGTGGCCAGATTCCTCCCCCACTCCCCTCCCCAGTTCACTTATCTTTTCTGACTCAGTTTCCATACAGAGGACCTGTTTTTCTTTATAGGGGATGTGGTAATGATCAAAAGAAGGTGCCTGTGTGGGAAGTGCACCATAAATTCCTATAAAAAAAGGAACGCTGTGTAGTGGCTACAAGAGACCCTTAAGTGTTTGCTGGCTATGCCCCCGTGTGTGTAATGCAGGAGACGTTGGACAGCAGGAGCCAGCGGTGGCAGCTTACTCTCTGGCATGTAATATCTTAGTCTCAGGGTAAACATTGACCTTACCAAATCCACTGCTATCTCAGGGTCACTGTGTTTACACCAGAACAGGCCAAAGGCCATGGCCTGAGAGACGACCAGACCTGGACGGGGATAAAGTGTGGGTCCCAGATGTAAGGCCCACCTCACTACTCCCACACCACTCTCAGAACCCTGTGCCGCCTGCCTTTGGTCCCGAGACTGGGAGGTTGCTACCAGCTGTGACTGGCCCTGGAGGGTTAATTGTGAAGTTGTCCTCTGTTGTACTGGGGGTGTTGCTTTTGCAGCTGTGCTGAAGGCTGACTTCAGTCCCGCCATCCTGGGCTGTCTCTCTGGCCCAGGCCACTGCCCTGCCCCGCCTCTCTGACCAGCTGCATGTCCACAGGCCTTTGTTCAAGGACTGTAGCCCGCCTTACTCATTACCCTCCTCCCCCAGTTTCTAGGAGCTCCAGGTCAGGGGGTTTGGAAGCTAGTGGGAAAACTCAGGAGGAGTCCCCAGGGTCCAACAGACCTGACAGGCCCATCTTGGGACCTCCAACACTGTCTCTACATAGTCCTTCACTCTCCTCTCTCATCTTTCCCTCCTTATGCCTGTACATCTTATGTCTATTTTACTATTTACCCATTATTATTTAACATCGTCTACGTGAGACTATTGGGCATCGGGGACACAGCAGGGAACAAAGTATGGTTTTTAGTAATTATTGACCCGGTGGAGCTGAATTCTACTGGGGGCAGTTGGCAGAAGAAAACAAGATGGGTCACTGGACAGGCCTTAGAGTTAACAGGAAAGTCTGACAGTTCCCTAAGGAAGGGATTTTGGAGTCCATCAGCCTGGGGAGATATTTTCTGTGCACTCTGGACATCTGTCTCTTGAGACCCAGGTCCGATCAGGGGTTTGGAGTTGGGACGACCTGGATTTAAATCTCAGCTTGACAACTTCCTAGCCTTGCAGCCGCCTGTTGACTAAACTCCTTTGAGTCTGTTTCTCACCTGTAAAGCGGAGTGAGTCATCGTGCCTACCACATGAGAGAATGAACAGTGAGATAACGCGTCTGCTGTGTTCAGTGAGCCCCGCAGAGCTAGCTGTGCAGTCAATTCTTTCTCTAACCGAATTCTGCAGAGGTAGCAGCGGATATTTCCTGTCAGTGCTAGGGACTCTGGATGAGAAATCTGCTCATTTGCATTTTAAGTACTGGGAAGGAGCAGGGAATTCAATCAAGTTTGCGTCAATCTAGTCGGGAGCCTTTCTCTGTTACCCTGGATTCAGTTGGTAGGGATGTGTGCTGGCCATTGTCCCTCAGATAGACAGGGTGACCCAGGGCAGCTATGGCCTGCCTCGCTCTGGAATACCCCTGCGTCCAATCAGCTGGTGAATCACACCTTTGCCCCTAGCCTTTTCACTTGGCCTCACAGTCCTGAAGACTCTCCATCTTCCTTCTCGGCATAGACGTGATATGCTGGGGGTGGGGCTGTATCAAGAACAAGGGTAAGGGAGTGAAAGGAGAGGGTGTCCACTGTAGCAGGCTCTTCAAGGAGAATGTGCAAAGATGACAGGCAGTCTGATGGTGGTTCTGAGGCACACTGCAAAGACTTTTGCTAAGGGTTCTCCAGAGACCAGAGTAAGTTGCCAGTGGGAGTCCTCCTACCACGAGGGGCCTGTGGATCAAACTTAGTCCATCAGGCTTTGTGGAAAATGCCTTTATCCACTGAGCCATTTTGTTGGCCCAGAAAGTAGCAGAACCTTGTGACGTTATCTAGACCAGCTTCTCTTTCCTGGGCTCTGAAAATCTCAACTCTGAGGATTGCAAATCCAAACTGTCTCCGCCCAACCCATGTGACAAGTCTCTTCCCCTCTCTGCTAGAGCCACCAACCATCCTCCTCCAAAGGGGTTTAATCTAAAATGCTGTTGCCAAAGCTTGTGGCCAGCGGTTTCCTGGGGGCCCTGCTCCTGTGCAGGAAGTGAAAGATGTGCTGTGGAGAGGCCAGGCCTAGGGAAGTGGTTGTCAGCCAGACCACTCCTCCGAAGCCGCTGCAGGCAGGCACATGCATGCACAGGCCCGCCCTGTGATGAAGGAACTCTTGGAGACTGTCAGTTGGTATAGAGGAAGTTAGAAAGAGGGCCCTGTGTACCTCGAGCATGTTTGTGACTTTAGTACACAAAAGAAAGAAACTGGGTCCAGTGATCAGCAGGAGGCTACCCTGGAGATGCTAACCACTCTGATGTCTGGGGACCAGCATAACTTGCTAACTGATTTGTTGGGTTCTCTTCTCCCTTTGAAACAGGGTCTGGCTGACCCAAAAGTCCCCCCCCCCCCAGACCATTTTCATCTTAAACTTGGAGTGATCTACTTGCCTCTGCTTCCCAAGCACTGAGATTTGTGCCTCCATGCCTGGCCTTGTTGGCTTGTTTTGATTAAAAGCTCCCTGAGAGCAGGAACACAGGGGTTCACTCATCCTTGTTCTCATATAGAACCGGGAAGAGTACAAAGCCTGATCTATAGGGCACAGCGGGCTGGTGCTGGGGTTCCACCGGAGAGGAATCCTGGCATGGTGGTCTCATCTGCTTCAGTACCGTGGGAAGAGTGGAGGGGTGGAGTCCACACTGGGTGATCGGTTGCCATCTGAGAAAGCAAGTTAAAAGGCGACCAATACCTGGATAGCTGTTTTGGCTGGCATTTGGTGAGAATGCTTATATCTAATGTCAAGGTCTAGGAAGACTCCTTTTCCACACTGAACAGCCTCTAGAGCTGAACACAGAAACTGAACAGGGTTCTGGAAGGTGCTGGGTACTACAGCCTTTTTAGAAACATAGTGAGAATCCTAGGAATTTCTTTGATTGCTGGAGTCTGAGTTGAGATGGGAGAGAGGAATGTAAGAAAAAGACTTAAGGAAAAAATAGCATTTTCTTTTGTGTAGTGTGTGTGTGTGTGTGTGTGTGTGTGTGTGTGTGTGTGTGTGTGTGTGTGTGTTCAGGGGACAGCTTATGGGAGTTCTTTCCTTCTACCATGTAGGACCCAGGAATTGAACTCAAGTTTTCAGGTTTGCTAGCAGGTGCCTTTACCCACTGAGACATCAGTGTTTGTTTTCCTCTTGATCCTGTGCTATCTTTGTAGATGAATTCAGTAGGTACTAGGGCTGCTTGAAGATTGACATATTTTAAAATTGATGTTGTTCTTTTTATCCCAGGCTAACATGGGACCACCACATATGACTGAGGATAACCTTGAGCTTCAGGTGTGTCTCCACTTCCAGACTGCCTTGATTACAGGCACCTGACACCACGTCTGGCTCATATGCAATGCTAGGGATTGAACACTTTGCTTCATGAATGTCAGGCAAACACT